ACTAAATATGATTTTTCAGTTCAAAGACGATGTTGAAGATACCGTCTGAGCCATCAAGTTAAGGAGTTAAAGTTATTATTATTGTTAAATTTTTAAGCCATCCACTACCATCAGTTTAAAACATAAAACTGTGTCCAGTCCACAAACAACATGCCATCTGAAAACTTGTTTTTATTAAAGTTTATTTAAAAAAATGTCCAGTGACGTCATCGATGCTATGGAAGGGAATGTACAAATAAATTTTAGTCGATACACTGTACTTAATAATTCTGTTAAATTTAAAACACGATCAAAAGCGGCTATGGATTTTTTTAGATTTGTCTTTGATTGTTACATTTTCAAGTCAAACTTTCAAATTAACGGTAATCTGACAAGACGAAAATTCCACCAAAGATAAGTCTTCAAAAATCCATGGCTGTCTTTGACCGTGTTTTTTATTGCTTTACTATTATTTACTTGCCTTACGTTTGAATAGCGAAAAAAAATTTTTTTTAGCGTTGTCCTTAATATATGTCATTTTAACCTTTTTAAATATTAATTATATAGCACTTTTGAAAAATATTTGTTTTATAATTTTATATTCAATACAATATAAGTTTAAATTAGTGCTTTATGTTAGACAAAATTTTAATGCTCTATCAGATTTAAATCGATATTTTGCAATGTGCTCTTTTGAATTTTCAGTAACTAGTTCTATTTGGTTCATTTCACACTTCGGCTCTGACATTTAGTTTGTATTTTGGATGAAGTGCAAGAAAATCTGGACAATGTCAATTATCTTAAAATATCCAGATACTATCTTTGCCCAGTTGACAAGTAAGGCAACGCCCGTTGCGACGATTGCAAAAAATTCGTTTGTAATCAACACAAAGAGAAGGAAACAATCGTAAAATGTATATTATATTATATTTTGCCCTTTTTTCTTAAAATATGTGGTCATGTTTTCACAACAAAAATTTAACAGATGACTACGTATATTAAGGCTTAATATAAGCCCCGCCCACCCACCCTGTCTCAATCGTGGTAATTTTTTTTTACCCGTCATAATTCTTGGGGTGAAGCTTCAAGTGCAAAATCCTTGTTTTCCTACTATAAATTGCTATGTGAAATATGTTCTTGAGTAACCGTGTTGTTTAAAGTAAAATAAATATATATATATTAGGTAAAAAAGAAAGTCAAAAGATAAGCCCCACCCATTTAATTTTTAATATATATAGTATTTTTTGAACATGTGGCTAAAAAATATGTCTTACATGATAATTTCTTGTAGAGAAATAAGGATTTTGCAATTAAGATCCGCCCTCGGCTCACGACGAATAAAAAAAATCATCACAATTGATGTTGGGTGGTGGATAGGGCTTATATTTTACATGTTTTTATTTTCTTAGTATACGTAGTCATGTTTTCACAACAAAAATTTAAAACAGATGACTACGTAGTACGTATATTAAGGCATAATATAAGCCCCGCCCACCCACCCTACCTCAATCGTGATGATTTTTTTTTACCCGTCGTAATTCTTGGGGTGAAGCTTAAGTGCAAAATCCTTGTTTTCTTATTATAAATTGCTATGTGACATATGTTCTTGAGTAATCGTGTTGTTTAAAGCAAACTATATGTATTAAGTAAAAAAGAAAGATAAAAGATATGCCCTACCCATTTAATTTTTAATGTATATAGTATTTTTTGAAAAATATGTTGCTAAAAAATGTTCATACATGGTAATTTCTTGTAGAGAAAGGAGGATTTTGCTGTTAAGCTCCGCCCTCTTCGCTGACGACGAATAAAAAAAATCATCACAATTGAGGTCGGGTGGGTGGGCGGGGCTTATATTTTGCCCTTTTTTTCTTAATGTATGTAGACCTCTTTTCACAACAAAACTTTAAAATAGATGATTACGTATACTAAGGAATAATATATGCCCCACCCACCCACCCTATCTCAATCGTTATGATTTTTTTTCCCCGTCGTAATTCTTGGGGTGAAGCTAAGTGCAAAATCCTTGTTTTTCTACTATAAAAATGTAAAATAAATTATAATAAGACTTTAAAACACACATATTCGTTTTCAGTGAAATGTCCAGGTTGTCATGTAAACTATTTTTTTTTTAACAAAATAAAAAGTGTAAACGTTTAATTTTGCGTAATATGTTACTTAAGGTCTAAAGTAACAAAAAAAAAACAAAAAAAGTCAATAAATAGGCTGGGGTCCTTTGAGGCACAACTTGGTAAACAACTTCGCAAAAAAAGCTTGTTGCGCTGAGGGTTAAAAGAGTATTTTACAATATTTATAATTAGAGTATTGCAACATAAAAAATACAACTGGTTAGAAGATACCGTATAAACTGTCTGTACACCTAACAGTTCATGTTAATACTTTTGGGATCCCCTTGCCTTCGCGTTCAAACATTTTAGGCAGATACATTAAAACATAATTTAAGTTTCCATTATTAAATCCTTTTACCCTCCCGCATAAATATTACTATACCGTCAAAATACAACTAAGTAAGTATTGTAAAATGGCAGAAAAAATTAAATGTACCTTATAGATATAACAGATACGCAACAATAACTTACTCTTAACTTACGTAATAAAATATATCAGCTTTAACCACTACCATAGACATATAGAGGAATGTTGTACTGATTGGTCTGTTGTCAAACAGCAAATTCTGGGTCCGGTGCCGGTTTTCAGAGACTAGGGAAGGGGTTTGGCAAATGAAATAAATATACACCTATCTCTGTCTGGTATTATCTTGTCTAAATTTTTGTAATTTTTTTCTCAAGATGTGTTGTATGTCACTACGATGGCAATTCTGATCTGTTTTGTATGCACGATTAGTGCTACCTGAGAATGCAGAAGTGGCTATTATCTTTCCAGAATGTATATTAATAAGATCTCAGAGCTTGGTTCGACATCAGTTTTAAAGATATTAATCCTATGTAGTTGGTTCTTAACATATTCAACATTACCAAGTGATTCACTGAAATGTATTGTGCTGTTTTTATAATTTGAGTGTGTTTTCTTTCTTTTACTTTAGTTATGAATTATGGTTGTGAATATGTATATATTAATCGTAGCCAAACATGAGCCCCTCCTCTTATGTTGTTTTCTTCAAATAGTAATTAAGACTCACTAATAGCTCCACCTTTCTTGCATAGTTGGTATTTATTGCAGAAGATATGCTTACGTAACGATCACGTTTTTTCAATTTTCGGTTTATCTAAACTTTGCGTAAAAAATTACTACATATTTTTTTCAAGTAATTTCTTTGGCCATTTGCACACTCTGTAACTTGGGTCTAATATTCTAGACTAAAATTGTTAACAAATAAAAAAAGCATAGATTATTACAATATAGTTAGTGCAGATGTCAACCGCAAGATAAAAAAATAACTCATCATGTGCAATGTAACAATAATTTTCTTAGGTATAGTTCGACCATGACCCGTTCAGATATCATAAAAACTGTTGCTTCCTTTTCGAAACTATAAAGAATAAGCTATTTTTATGATCTTGTTATTTATGTTGGACAGTCTGGTTTATTCTGACGGATGTTAAAGCTCTGTACGATATATGTGTAGGTACTAAATGTAAAACTTCCATCTGAAAGTTGAAATATGCAACGTGTGGAAGCCAGTTCGAAACTTAAACATAACCGTTCTTTAGAAAACAATTTAGGGAGCTGATTTATTTCGATCACTGTTGTAAATTTAGTATGCCTGTAGACTTTTTTTTATTTTCTTTGAAAACTATAGGTCGTCCCTCACTGAAGGATCCTAAATTCAAATTAATTTAGTAAACCAGAACTGTATTAGTTTTTGCAAAACGTCAATAGCAGTAATAACACTCCCCGTGTCAGTAGTAATATTATGCTGACAGACATTATGCAGTACACGGATTTAACATTAGACAGTAATTGTAAGATACTTTACTATGGTTCAAAAATACCAAGGAGACGAGATGTCTTTCAGAGCGAATATACTATTCTATAATCAAATACAGAGATTTTCTTTTTCATAATAATTTAAAATGTTTAAAGACATGTTTTAAACATCTTTTTGAAACTTATAGAGTATTTTTTAAACAAACAAATGGCTCCACATTAGAGATAAACAAATAAAACGTTGTGTCACACTTACTTCTCTAATCACTAGCTGGCTATTACGAGGAAGAAGTTACCAAAATTATAATAAACCTATTACCTAGATCTCTAAGTAAGTGTGAAGAATAATGTCTTCTTATTAAAGCTAACCATTACGGTTACGCAAAATTTATGTCGTAATTTTTGCCGCAAGAACAGGTTACTAAATTAATTATTATTATTAGCACGACAAAATGTGAAAAATGTGAAGAACAGGAAAGACTATCATAAACCATTAAGGCATCATTTAACTTGTAAATATCATAGAAACCTAATAGTGTCGAAGTGAGAGGACATGAAAATTGAAAACCTACTGCATATCTCTAAACTTTACGTTATATAGATAATTGATTTGAGAAGTACAATAGAAAAACAATTAAAATATTGCAACTATCTTAAAGATATTTTTTCTTCGACGAAGAAACGAAACGTAGTAGACGCAATAGGTAAGTGATTGCTTTTAAAAGGGTAATTAAAATTTCTTCGTGCAAACCTTGATAGTATGGCAGCAGCCTCTTGTCTTGAAGAAATGGGAAAACCAGCTTGAGATTTTTTTTATAAATTTAGTTGAAAAACAGCGACTATATGAAGTTTTGTTGTAAGAGATGTCAAATTATTATAAATGAATTTCGCTAAAATTATTATAGTTTTGAATTATTAATATCATCACATGATTTAATTATTACGAAATGCCAGTAAACTGGACGCACCCTTACAATGAGCTCAACAATTCACAGCCAACTGTAAACGTGAAACATTTTAAGTACCAGTAATTTTATGCGTAAAACTCAGACATAATTTTTAGATCTTGCAAAAAATAACAGAAAGTTGAAATAGTTATTCCTATAAATACCCACCTACGATGACGACGTGCCCGAAAGACGTGGGGTTATCGATGCCTGTGCAGTTCCAGCGATGGTGTCTGAACTGATACTTGCATTCGCTGGTCGCCAGCCGGATTCCATCTCCAACGGCGACCATGGCGTCCGGTGAGGACCTGCACATATCCCTTTGGCGGCTGGTGAGCCCCGGAATCCGACTGCAGAAAACTTCGGATCCCAGAGTGATGACACCATAAACCCTGAAACAAAAACGAAATAAATCGGTCGCCGGCAATTGCGGAACGACAGTATCGCTTTGGCTCTTTATTTTCGCTTTTGTGTTGTTGGTAGCAAGCGCGCATTAATTGACATGAAATATCTGTTGGTAATAAGACCGACTCCTTTAAAGACTGACTCGGCGATTATCTTATTTCTCTCATTAAAACAGCCCACATGTTAAAGAGAAATACATTTTATTTAATAAAATACGTAACGGTTAGAGTCCACAGTTAAATTATACTTAAAATCGGTTTTATTGACTTGGTTTTATTGGCAAGGTTTTATTACTGCCACCGTGATAGCAATGTTAGTTGTGGGATATTACCAGGTTTCATCCATAACAAGATAAATCTCATGCATAAAAAAAATGGGCCGTTTATATTGTCATCTCTTACTTGTAACGTGCCATGCCCACACTCGACCAATTTTATTTATGTGTTTTTAATGAGACATTGAATATCTGGCTATAATATTTTTATACAGACATTTACCTTCTGACCGTCGCATTATCAACAACATGGGCATGATTGACTCTGCTATATCTGACAATGAGATACAGTTTTGTCGATAGCCTATATTGCGATACAAGATTATAATAATTCCACGCTCGATTGGATCCTTGATGGCTGATGTTTTACGCTTCAACGGAATTGTTTCATTAATAATTGGCTGTCATTATAATATTAGCAAAAAATTTTTATAATTATTAGTCATAAAGTATAAAATTATATAAACATGATTTACCTAAAATGTCATAACTGTCTATCAAAATATGTCGTAATAAACCTGAACTATCTGTTAATAGAAACACGTATACGTAAATAATTATCTAGTTTTCTACAGCTGTAAAGTGTCTGTTACTGCACGAAGTAATTTAATATAAGAGATTTTACAACGGTATTCATAATGAATTCTCAAAGAACTCAGTACGTACATAGTTTATCGTAAAATCTTTGTCATTTTACAACTAGTTTGATTTTTGTTTATTAAAATTTGATCATTTTTAAAGTTGCAACATTTTTTTGCTTATCATGTCATACGTGGGAATTTATTTGTATTTTTTTTTTCTATTCGCGAGCTATCAAAGCACCCAAACTGAGTGCTTTAGTGGAAATGGTGTAATTTATATTTTCACTTTTGGTAATCATTCAAATGTTCACACTCAAATAATGTGTATATAAAATAAACTTCATAAGAATGTAAAATGTACAATTATTATTCACATTGGATGTGTCTCGGGCATTTAGATTAATTTCAGGAATTCTAAAAAAAAATATTGCTCGACTCTATATGCCCTGTCAAGTAAACGTTCCAAGTAGAGTGGATATGATTTTAACGTTTTGAATAAATGCATAGTAAATGCCATTAAATGTTGCTCAAACTATATTTTTCATTTAACTATTCGAAAATTAAAAAGCTTAATGAATCAATAAATTTCACAGTAATGGATAATCAGGCTGTAGAATTACTGTGTCCGGTTGTAAATTTCAACGGGAAAAAATCTTCAAATTCAAATTTCTGTAAGATAATGACAGCAAAATTTTTGAAATTGTTTTTGACTTGTCTTTGTAATTAATTGAGAAAATTAATGAGGGTACACAATTATAGATGTAATATAATTTTTTCTAACAGAATATAGTCTTTTGTAGATTTTAGAATATTTATTAGTGTTGGATGAACGATTTCATACAGAGAAGACGCATTATAATATTGAGTGTTTTTTTAACACAAACAAAAAAGGCCATGTATGAAGTTCTGAAATGCACAGTCGTTCCAATCAGCTTCAACGTTTTGAGGATGAAAGTAAACGTGTTTGGGCTGTAAGTAGGTAAACAACTAAATTCGGTGATGGACAGTTTAGGACATTTAACCATAAGCACCAACCAGACCGTAAATTTTGTATATAAAATTATCAATGTCATATTATTAAAATTAGAGGTATCTTTAGCTCTCCTTCTTTGTCCATACGAATTTATGACGCCACCACCCACAACCTGTTAATAAAACGAGAAACATTATGTGGAATAAAAAGAAAGTTTTCATTTGTACAAAATTAGATAACTTCATAATACTAAGCTTGACATGATTGTATAACGTGATGACACGATAATGTTGACCATTGTAATGTCATTTGGAAGCGTGAATCTCCTGACTCACACTGATTTAATTATCTGATGTCAAGAGCAAGTGGGTTGGAAGCTTCTTTACTACCTCACTACCGTCCGATGTGGCTTTTTGGTTTATTACTCTGACTCTGACAGACCAACTACCGATTTCATTTAGATAAAACCCCACGAGATCTGTTAACTACCCGTACAGCCTCTGGAAATATGCGATTTCGGTCGAAAGTGTCACATTTACCCTTTTTTTAAAACCAGACAACATAAATTTTATCGCAGAGACCCTCATGCTGCTAAAATTTTCAAACTGTGATTGCATCAGCTTTTATTGGATTTGTATGCAAATTTATGAGCTAAAACATAATTGGTCTTTTCAAGATGTAATACTAATAAGCTAGAGACAAACGATCCACGAGTGCGTTGTGGCATTCAAATCAGTGAGAAAATAGTGGAGGGTTGGGCTTATGGTTTTAAGTATGATACAAGACCTAACGGACCAAATTGTCAAAGAGAAGAAACTTTAAAATAAAATGCAGATCATAAGATACCAACAACAATTCTTTTAGGGTAAGATGATATGATAGGTATGGTAATATGATAGATGACAGTTTACTTTAAATTTTTTTGCAAATTTATTATTACAAATTCTGTACGATGTTAAGTAAAAGAGTAGAAGTTTGGGTTTTATTTAAAAAGATGCTAATAAATTCGGTCGAACAAATTAATAATTAATTAGTCTTAAATATTAACAATGTTCTTTTTTTTGTTCTGATAAAATATATATATAAAATAAAGTGTTTGTGAAATTCTTACGGAGCATATATTTATGTATGATTGTGTAATTACTTTTCATGAAAATATTCTTGTCTAAAGATAATGACAAGCATTGAAAAGAAAACTATAGAACAAAAAACCATTAAATTAATAAATCAAAGTTAATAGTAACAAACTAGTAGAAAAATAACTGATTAGTTAAAATCACTTTCAAATTTCCTTCCACCCCTAGGTTATGTATTAGTAAGTAGTTTTCCGGTCCTGAATGTAGTGTTCTCTACATAGACATTATTTCTTTAGACCGATCAACAAGGTTTGTTTGTCTGACTATATCATGCAGTACTGCACAGCTATAAGTGATTTTTGCTATAAAGATCGCTGGGTAATGTAATACTTAATCTTTTCGCTCTTACCTGAGCTTTAAGACTGCTTTTGACCTATTATATGTGCTTCGAAATAGCGACCTTTACAGAGGTGTGTTGGCATTATTAAATAGGATTCTAATGGACGTGCTGAATCACCAGACAGTACAACGTATACAGAGCCAGGCAATCTGGCGTTGATACTTAAAATTTTTTAATTTGAATCGTATTCTGCAACTAGGTTTAAAGCATTTTTTTTAAATTAATAAATAGAATAAATACTTAATTAACATTTTCAAGATTTTTAGGCTAATTTCCTGAAAGAGGAACAATGGCAATAAAAACCCCATCTATATATTCAGTTATACAAGAAAATTCAAAATTTTTCAAAAAACCACTGTATATTCCAAGTATTTCGTTCAAGTTTCTTGGAAATTTTATATAATGATTTTTAAAACTATCAGAATTTTAAAATATGGAAACAGTTTTACCCAACTAAAAATTCAAATTAAAAATATGTAATTAAAAAAATTTCACAATTCGGTAAACATTTGATTACAGAAAAAGCACTAAATTTGAGATTAAGGTTAATCTCATATGTGGTGTTAGCACTGACATTTAAAGGAAATTCCCTAGTGAAATGCTACGGGTGTGTGTATTAAAATTTACGTTCCTGATTATTTCGTTATATAACTTAAAATTTCATTTATTCTCAGCAAAGAAATAACCTTCCCACCAATGCACGGGAAATTTCGCATTTACAACTAGCATAAGTAGCATTTTCAGCAAATTCCTAGCTGAACTGATTAACTATCTGCTGCTAGATACACTTGTCTAACAATTAAACCCAAAAACATAAAAAGTTGTTTAAATTACGAAAACGTGGAGTTATTGAGTGTTGATTAATAACAATAATAATAGTAGTGAATAATAATTTTAAATTATTAAGTATCCTTTTCTTAAACGATTAGTAAAACTCTGCAGAATCTGAAATATTGCAAGCATCTGTTTGAAAAAAGTTTTGAATTACCACTTTTTTCAAACATATAAAAAGATTCAAAAGGATAAAAACGCATCTAGAAACCAAATCCTTGAGAGTGCTTTACATTGAAGGATATCTAACTTTGATTTTGTTTTTTATTTGTTAATTATGCCTGCAGTCTGGAATAATCCTTATTAAAACTAACAATTTATGACCGCGAGAACTAAGTCCCGACATGATAACGCAACATACACCGTCTATTCGTTATTTCTACTATTTTCGTTTAATTTATGTACCAATTAAACAGAATCTGTTCAGATTAATTATGTCATCAATAATGATTATAACATGGGTATCAGTTTCTCTTGAAAGGTAATCCAAATTAACGTTCATGTTTTATCTTTGGAAATATAATAATGCAATCAAAATGTTGAAAAGCTAGCAAAAGACGTTATTTCGACGGTAACAAATTTTGGGTCGTCCATAAACTCCCGCGTTGACAGAGTGTCCTGGGTGGTCCTGCCCATAGATCGCCCTACACGTTTTCGCTGCTCTCCAGGAACCTGGTGATTATTAGCGAAGAGATAAATCAGGAGTGGATGGCCGTAATTGAGCCGTCATCAGAGTTTAGCCTTCGCAGCACCAGTCTGTTTCTCGTCCATATTTGTTATCACTCGATCGACATTTATTAAACTCGGTGATTTGCATGTTTTGTCCATATCGAGGTAGTACTTTTGATTTAT